ACCTAAAATTAAAATAAGATAAAATTATCATCAATAACTGAATTGATATTTTTAATACCAAGTTGAAACCAATAATATAATAAAACATAGTCCTAAACCCTAAACTTGGGGTCAGCGCTATATCTCTCTAGACAGTGAAACCTACCAATTAAGATTCTCTCTCTGTCGCTTGTGTTTCAATCTTCTTCAGGAGTAATGGGTACCTAAAGCCAAGTTGTGTTTACGGCCAATATAGAAATGGAACAGCATGCACCCTTTAATTTCCCCAAAATGAGAATATAGAAATCAGAGAAGAAACACAAACTGCAGATGGAATATAGAAATCAAGAATTATCACTGTCTAGTACTCATAAGCCGGCCAAATTAAATCAGAGCTGAAATCCAAAATCCAAAATTATAATAATATTAATCATTTTCATTATATAATCACAAAGGCATAATGGGATTCCACTCTTTACAAATGGAAGATATATATATATATATACAGGAAACGGCCCAACGGGTAGATAATATACCCAACGAACAATAAAGATTACTTTACAGTTTCCGGGCGATAGAATAAACAACTTTGGTATTTGAGCACAAAAATATGAAAGAAGGTGTGCATGCAGAACAAAAAGCAACAATTCAGGCGTTCAAAACTTTAAAATAAAGCAGTATAAAAAGAATGGTAGGTGTGCGAATAAAAAGAAGAAGAAGAAAGTAAAAAATAAAGAAGCAAAACAGAGATGTTATAGCGTGCGGCCACGTTCATCAAGGAGAAGAACAGTAGATCCATCAGCATCAGAGGACCCCACGACTCTGTAGCTCCTTCGCCTACTTGCTCTGCGCTCCGATACCCATACAGAAACAAAGCCAGACAGGTTCAACTGGGAGAGGGATAGAGAGGCGGACTTTTCTGAGACATCATCTGATGAAGGTAGACGGTCACACGGCACCGGCTTCTTCCATGAGGAAGCTGTGCCCCAACCTCGACCGTGAAGATGGCCTCGACACGGTGCTGGAGGTGCCCATACCTGAGGAGGGGCGGGGGCCGGAGTAGCAGCAAGCACTTTGGCACTCGCTGCACCAACATGATGGCGTGGATGCGCGCGCAAGTCGACCACCGCACCGGCTCATCGGTGATTGGACGCAACGCGGAGCTCCAGCTAATGCTGGGCGTTGTGGGGGCGCCGCTTGTCCCAATTCCCATGCCGCCGCACCACTCCATACTGGGCAATGCCATCAAGGAAGAACCCATTGTAAGCCAACTCCTTTCTTATTCCCCTATTCTCCGAAGTGATGGAACACATAAAAATCCTCCTCAGCAATTTGATTTCTTAGCTAAGTTTTGTGTGACGGATAATACAGGAGGCATCAATGGCAAAATACATAGTGCAGCAGTACATAGCAGCTGCGGGAGGAGAAAAGGCCCTGAATGGTATAAGCAGCATGTATGCCATGGGCAAGGTGAGGATGGCGGCGACCGAGCTGCGGCCAGGGGGTGGTGGCAACAGCAATGGCGGCGGGAAGAAGGCTGGAAAGGGAGGTGGTGGTGCGGTCTGCGGTGGAGAGATGGGGGGCTTTGTCCTGTGGCAGAAGCTGCCGGACCTGTGGTGCCTGGAGCTGGTGGTGTCTGGCTGCAAGATCAGCGCTGGCAGCAATGGCAAGATTGCGTGGAGGCAAACACCATGGCAGCAGTCTCATGCCTCAAGAGGGCCCCCAAGACCCCTTCGCCGCTCCCTCCAGGTACAATTCAAAATTGTTCGTATTAAAAATCCACCCTTTTTCATCAACAAAAATGCTTTGTGCACAGCTTTACTCTGTGCAACGCCTATAACTTTGATTAAATAACCGCCTTATGATTAAATATTGACTAATTGAAGGATCGATTTTGGTTGTATTCATAAGTTCACTTGGTCAGAAGTCAGCCTTGTCATTAGATATGCTTTGCAATCTAACAGTATTTAGGCTCGCCCCGGTTGGTTCATCTAAATATATGCTTAGTTTATATGTGCTGGGCTTCTTTTGTGAGGATGAGCAAAACATATGCAAAAACTATGTATTTTATTTTAAACATATAACTGTAATGTATTTTTTTTTATGATTTAAATATTTATATAAATAAAATCATACCTCATTTTTTTATTAAGTTATAAAAAGGCCATTTTTATAATTGAAATGATAACAACAGTGATCATTAAAGATAACATTTTTTACAAGATAATAATTATTATCAAGTAAAATACAGAGAAATATCTTTCAAGTTACACCCAAGAAAGAATTGTTTTATATATTTATTAAATCTAGCATCCTTTTTTTTTTTTTGTGATAAATTTACATAATACAACACAATTCTAATTTATTTACATATCTAACACCTAAAATTTGATATTTACATTTAAAACAATTCGTTATTAGGCATCTAAGTATCTAAATGAACATTTTATTTTAATGAGACTTGTATGTGCTTGAGAAAAATAAAAAATGTAAATTGCCTCACTTGTTCAAGTTTGTCTGCGTCAAACACTCAAACACCTGGTGTGCAGGGCTTGGATCCAAAATCCACGGCCATCCTCTTCAACAACGCGGTGTGCATCGGCGAGAAAACAATCAACAACCACGACTGCTTCGTTCTCCGGCTGGACGCCGAAGCCTCCACCCTCCGATCTCGAAGCAGCAGCAGCGTGGAAATCATCCGCCACACCCTATGGGGTTACTTCAGCCAACGCACCGCCCTTCTGGTTCATCTGGAAGACTCCCATCTCCTCCGCATCAAAACCCCCAATCAAGAAAGCGTGTACTGGGAAACCACCATGGAATCCTCCATCAACGATTACAGGCCGGTCGACGGGGTCCAGATCGCGCACGCCGGCCGGACGAGCGTTTCCCTGTTTCGATTTGGTGAGACGGAGGAAGGAAACACGAGGACGCGGATGGAGGAGACATGGACGGTGGAGGAGGTTGACTTTAACATTTGGGGGCTTTCTATGGATTGCTTCCTTCCTCCTGGAGATATCAAGGAGGAAAAAGAAGGCAGAGAAGAGTGTCCGACGAAAACGGCGGTCGCCCGCCGCCGTCTGGCGTTAATTTCCGGATCGGGGCTTCGCAGATTGCTGCGGTGAACATAGAGGAGACAATGGAGTAAATAAACAACAGTAGGTTTGTCTGTGAGAATCATTTTAGAGAGAGGGAGTGAGAGACAGTATAACTGCTAGTAACATCAGCTTTTTTCTCTCTTAATCATTTTTTTTAATTAAATGTATTACATTTAGTTCTTTTATATATATATATACCGGCTGCTCGCAAACAGGATTCATAAAACAGGAATACTGAAATGAATTTTTTTTTGGTTTTTTAGTAATCAAGGAAATTAAGTGGATACAATATGAGACTAACTTCATTTATATTGTAGTCTATCCAATTGTTGATTTTGATAATTAAGTTTTTAAAAAATACAGATGGATAATAATTCATTTAAAATAAAATAAAAATTTTAATGTATTGGAATTTATTCGCATCAAATTAGAAGGTTGTTAACAGAAGTGCCAAATACGATCGGTTGATTAAAAGAAAAAGCCTCAAAAAACTGAAACTAATCCGACCTGCCGGATTCGAACCAGCGACCTAAGGATAACAGCTGTCAAACTACAGTCCTCCGCTCTACCAACTGAGCTAAGGTCGGATATTGAAGTCTTTTGATTTTTTATTGAATATTAAACTTTTATTTCTGTACTTAACCCCAACTTTTAATATTTTTTTAGCTAATATTTTAATGAGTTAATTATTTTTTTTATAAATTCAAGTAAATAAATAATTATAATTCAAAATGAATAAAAATTTGAGTGACGATTTTGTTAATAAAATTTTAAATTTGAGTATAAATTTGGGGTTGAACTTATGGCCATATAAAGATTTTATAGGTTATGTGTATTATTTATTCACATTAAACTTTCCAAGTGAATTAATCAAGAGCTCTAAACCCATCACACCATTATTATTTTCGTCCAAATTCGCGGCCATGAACCGCCTAAATTTTCCTCGTAATTATTTTTACATATAAAAAGTTTAGAATCTGAAACAAGCTCAGCTTTAAATATATTTATAAGTAACAAAAGAGGGTTAGGAGGTTAGAGGTCAATCTCAAAGCTTAGCTAGCTAATGCATACCCTGTATCACTTTCTTCTTGTTGCATTGCCAGTCTTATTATCTATAGCTGCTATCAGCACCACCACAATGCCCCCATTATCAAGAGAAAAATTTACAGACATACGCAGCTCTACATACGTCAGGGAGGTTATTCAAAAGATATTTGAGAAAACACGAAACTTACTAGAAGGTACAAATATGTTATATGGAGGTTACAGAGGGATATAACACGAATATAACCCTCCAATACCTTTTAAATAACATCCTTGCCATCTGCAACGCTGTGTATATCTTACGTATGCAAAATTTTCTCTATTATCATAGTATGTACATGGAATTACTTATAAAAATTCTTCGTGTTATTACTTTGAATATATCATTTTCATGCATATAATTTAGTGTATGAGTTTGAAAATACCTATACATGAATTGAAAATGAAAAATTAAGCTTCTATGTAGTACCATTTTAGCAAATTCGTGTACGTGAACCTAAACCCTACAAAATATGCAATGTGTTAACTTTCCACGATGGAGAAGAAAAAAATTACTTCGATAAACACAAAAGCAAAGAAATATTTCTATTTTACATCTTTATAAAACTAATATTAAATTCAATTAGATTTATAATAATATCACTCAAATCTCAGTACGCAGGACAAATCTCCAACAAGCATTTAATATTTACAGCTTTTCTATATATATATATTCGCATGATTTGATCAAATAACATTAAAATACACAACATGGATAATTCAAGTTAAAATATTGGATAAATAGCATTTGGTAGCATTAAAGTAAGTCTTCCTAAAATACATATAGGAGGCAGAACAAAATTCCAATACTCCGGCAACATGCCATACAACTCTTTCAAGTTCATATATAATAACGATACTAATAATAAATAAACACGGTTTAACAAGCTAATTTAGGTCATACCTGAACTTAGCTCAGTTACAACAAAAAGCATCAGCCTTGAAAAATGTAAATAAATGTAACAACACAACAACAGTAACAAAAAAGCAACATTCAATTTCTTCGGTGAGTAGAGCTGACCACTTACAGAAGATATCTGTTTAAAATTGTCAAACAGTTCCATTGTCCAATTTTTGCCTGTGAATAAAAAATTGATAAATAAATAAGATTATAACTTCAAAATCCTTCCAATATAGAGGGCACGATAAGTCTGTTATAATCCTTCAGATTAATAGTCGTTTGTGATGCAGCACTACACAATATGCGTGGCAGTAGAAAAATTAATTCTGCCTACATAAAATAGGAGCTATTAGCCAACAAATATAAAATTCGAAATAGTAATCACATAAAAGGAGTGAAAAATAATATCATGTTAAGACATCTTATCAATCAAATGTCTAACCGTGTACTTCAAAATACTGCTTCATGTTTTGATAGTTACCTATCATCCAATTCATAGGTGTTACTCTCATGTTAAATAAATAAATAAGGAAATATATATATATATATATACTATCTCCATAGATGTCACATTTTTTGAAAATCAAACATACTACCTCAAATCTAATGTTTAGGGGAGAGTGCAAATAAACATCAATTCCAGGATGCAATTTATGATAGCTACATGGCCTCACAATCTACTCTCCCACCTAATCCTCTTAATCCTTGTTGAGGATGTCCAACCGACCCAACCTGGAGCCCATAACAAAGAGTTTCGGAGAAAAAAGCATTGAGAAGTTAAATTTACCTGATATTTTGAAGCAGTTGAAGAGATGGATGAAAGTAGTTGCATAACAAAGGATCTCCTCTTTAACTTGCAATGACAAAATTGGTCCAACCAAAACCCGAGCTCACATTTACATGAAATCTCAGGTGAGGAGTTTAGTACTCATGAAATATTTGTTTCCCATTATGGTGCTAATGATAAAGAAAGCTGTACTAGATACCTAGTTTCGGAGCATGTAGCTTATGGGAAGCTATCCTCAGCCTATAGAGCGTTTGTATCTAACCTTGATAATGTGCATATTTCTAAATTCATTCATAAAGCTCCTGACAATCCGGAATAGATGAAAGCAATTGAAGAGGAGATTCAAGCACTAAAGCACAACGACACATGGATTCTTATTAAAATCTCTCATGATAAAAAGTCAGTTGGATGTAAATGTGTATTGAACATCAAATATAAAGTTGATGGTGCGTTGAGAGATTCAAAGCAAGACTAGTTGTAAAAGATTTCACTCAAGCCTGTGAAATTGGCTATCATAAGGCCTTCGCACCAGTAGCCAAACTGAACACTATCAGAGTTCTACTTTCTGTAGCAATTAACAAGAAATGAGACTACATTAACTTGACATAAAAAATGTTTTACTGAATAGGGATCTGGAAGAAGTGTATATGAAAATACCACCAGGACTTGAGAAAGATTCCAACAAACACCTAGTATTCAAACCCAAGGAGCTCTCATGGGCTTAAGCAATCACCAAGAGTGTGGTTTGAAATATTTGCTAAAACTATTGGATCTAATGGATACTCTCATAGTCAAGTTGATCACACATTACTCATAAAACACCAAAGAATGGAAGATTGTTGCACTGATATTATATGTCGATGACATGACTCTTACTGGTGATGATGAAGGAGAAATTCTTAAAATCGAAGATGCCCTTCATGCTAAGTTTGAAATCAAGGACCTAGAGATTAATGCCATATTTTCTAGATATTTAAATAACAAAGTCAAAGAAAGGCATTATTATATTACAAAGAAAATACATTTTAGATCTACTAAAGAATATAGGGATGATTGGAATGCAAAGCTGCTAATACTCACATGGAACCTAACAAGAAGTTTAACGTGAAAGAAAAAGTATATCTGTGGGGGGAAGATACAAAAGATTGGTAGGAAAATTCATATATCTGTCGCATACTAGGCCAGATATTGCATACTCTGTCAGTGTTGTGAGCCAGCACATAAATAACCCAAATGAAGAGCTTTCAGAGATGGTGTATAGCAATCTGAGTTTCCTCAAAAAGACTCTTAATTATGGATTAATTTTTAAGAGAAGCAGAAAAAAAGATGTAGAAGTCTACACTGATGCAAATTGGCCTGAAAAATTCACTAATAGAAGTTCCACCATAGGTTATATGTATGGGGAAATTTAGTTACATGGAGAAGTAAAAAAACAAACTATTGCTTCTAAAAGCAGTGCAAAATCGGAGTATAGGGCAATTCCTGAAGGGGTATGGATTCATAAAGTGTAAAGAGAATTGGTGTGCACCTCCAATAGGTCTATACAAATAATTTGTGACAATCAAGGAGCTATCAGTATTGCCAAGAATCTTATGCCTCATGACAAGACCAAGCATATTAAAGTTGATAGGCATTTCTTTTTTAAAAAGGTTAATGGTGGAATTATACAATTAAGCTGCATCCCAACATGCCAACAAGTTGTTGATGTCTTCACCAAAGCTCTTCCGTTAAGTACCTTCTCAAAATTCAATACCAAGCTTAGTGTCACCTCCCAAAAGAGCTCTTAGGGATGGTGGACAGCACAGGACTTAAATACTGCTTTTCGGCCCACAAATAGCCGATGTAGAACTTTTTGTCCGTGACATTCTCCTCCACCCAATCACGTGACGCCCTCGTCACAAATCGGCTCCACTGGACCATGGAGAGCCACACACCTGGCAGGCTGTAATCTGCTCTGATACCACTTGTCACCTCCCAAAAGAGCTCTCGAGAGAGGTGGGCAGCCTAGGACTTAAATACTGCTTTTCGGCCATACACCTAGCCGGTGTGGGACTATTTGTCCGTGACATTTTCCTCTACTCAATCACGTGACGCCCTCGTCACGGATCGGCTCCACCGAGGGTCCCACTTGACCATGGAGAGTCCATATACCTGACAAGCAGTAATCTGCTCTGATGCCACTTGTCACTTCCCAAAAGAGTTCTTAGGGGTGGTGGGGCAGCCCAGAACTTAAATACTGCATTTCAGTCATACACTTAGCCGATGTGAGACTTTTTGTCCGTGACATTAGTCTCTACAACATCTACGACACAACATAAGTGGGGGTTTGTGGAAAATGGATTGGTCGGCTGCTTCAAGGTGCAAGAAGATTGAATTAGAAGACAGCTTTGAAAACTCCCTGAATAGTCTTATTCTCTTCCTATTTATGCTTTTCTTTGTGTTTATTTCAAAATTATTCACTTTCCATATTTACGATTAGATATATCTAGTAAGGTTATAAATTACGAGGGATCGATTTCCCTATATATATGTATCCTATGTGTGAATAATGAAAGCAATTCTCACTTTTTTTTTTATCTATAGTATAATTCATACTTATTAGTAAAGCTCTAATGTTATGCACGAATATTTGCAATCCAATACATTTAATCAAATAAATCCAACAAAACAAACAAAATTTATATCAGATTATAAAATATAGTAATTATAAATGATAATTTGAAGAAGATATTTAGAATATATTAAGCAAAAGTACAAAATAGTGCACTCCAAGCTAGGAAGAACTCATATTATCCAAGCGGAAGAGAAGAAAATGGTAGGGAGATTCAGCGAGGTTGGCTTCTCTACCAATCCTCGATCTCTTCACAACACCTGTTCATCTAGTACTATCACAATCTTACTGAGTACAAGTCAATATCAACGAGCTTGAACCAGACCACCTAAACAACACTCAAAAAATAAAATAAAATAAAATAAAAAGATGCATATCCTTTTTAATACCATCTTAACTACACTATACAGTAACCCATATGACGCTATATTCAATGCTAAATGATGGGGATTGAACCTACTAAATTCATAGTTTTGAAAAAGAAAAATTCAATTTAGCCATCCAAAATGAACCCATCCTTGTATTGATGAACCCATAGAAATTTTACATCTTCAAGTACCATGATAATCCTAGAAAATTTGCTTCCCTCAACAAATTGCTAGTGGATGACACATTTCTCATTGAATCAAACTACGCTTAGGATAGCTTTTCATATTAGACTGCTGCAACTTCTATTTCGCTCTAAATTTCTGGAAAACTTCTATGGTTAGAAGCTGCTTTTCACAATCAAAATAGTTCGACTGTGAATATTGAAAGAAAGTAATTGTCCAACCTTTTTCAAGAAAAAAGAAACTCTATAATTACACAACCTTATATTGCTTTTCTCATAATAGCTCCACAAATAATTTTACAAAAAATTGCATCTATCCCAAACGATAACATCAATTAATTTCAATACTATAAAACTTTCAACCATCTAAAAGCACTTAATTGTTGTAAAAAGTTAGTAGAGAAAAACACAAATTAAGAAGCACAACTACCACAAGCATAATTTATCAAATTTTATCAGTAGGCAAGTCCTGCAACATCTTCGTGTAGTCAAAAGAAAAACTCATGAATAAATCTACAAATCGGGCCATGACATTATTGCATATAGAAGACTAAAATTCAAGTTAAAATTGATAAACTACTCCTTGAACTATAAAGAGTTCAACAGTCTACCAAACTCAGCAAAATATCATAGAAAAAAACAATGTCATGTATTGCAAGTGAGAGATGAGCTTACTCGAGTGAAAGATTCTTGTGGGTATAATTTACGCCTTTATCTCCATCCACCACTTGCCCATTTCCTCTTAAAAGCCTTCATATCGAGAAATTAAAGCAGAATTCAGATTAAAACGAAACATAAATAATTCTACATGTCAATAAGTAATTAAAAAATGTACTAAAAAATATTAACCAAAGAAATGAACTAATAATACATACGTTTTAAACTGTATGGAGTATGCGTTCATGAATAATGGTTCGTGTAAACTAACAGAAAAAACTACTGGATACAAAAATTGATATTACAAGAAACCCAAGGCCTAGCAAAGTGCAAGATAAAAACTTCTCTGGCTTTAGATACATTTCTTTGAATGCTTATAACAAATGTTAAGTTTGATGATACTTGGATAACATCTTCTCGACAAAGCACAATCAGCTTAGGAATTCAGTATGGACTAATTAGTAGAGCCATTCCTAATCTGATCATAGCAATGCACATCCATAAAATGAAAATGTTCATATTATTTTAAAAATTGCTAATACATGAGCCTACAAACTGCGATTATGGATATGTATCATTTTTACAATTATGGATATCCATCCTTATATTGCAAAGTCCGTGGCCAAAAAACTACTTCCTTGAAACCTTCTGAACACGTTTCACTAAGATTTGGAAGGTATAGAATTATAATATCTAAGATTTAGCGTATTTGTGTATGTTAGCACAATTCATCATCATCATCAGTAGTCTTAACTAATTATAGCTGTTACTTCCAGAGGAATAATTACATCTTCACGAAACCGCAAAAGGATTAACTCATTCCAATAAATATTATGTTTTAAGTTTTATTCTTGTATAGCTCCAAATCAGGCCACACATTTATCAAAGATAAGGTCCCACATTAATTGTACAAATACAAGAATCCTTTTTGCTCCTCCATGAAATCAATGTTAATATGAAGAGCCAAAACCATTTCAATCAAAATCACATATCAATAGAAGCAAGAATTTAGGAAATAGAAAATTGCAACTAATGAATCTTTGTTGATGCTCAAGTGGAAAACAATGTTCAGGCCAACGTAACATGTATGCGTACCATTTTGTTGTCAATAGTCCTTCTACACCAACAGGGCCTCTAGCATGAATCCTACTTGTACTTATACCAACCTACGCAGCAATTAACAAAAGGAAAAAGAAAAAGTTTAATGCAAGATTAAAATCAGGAGCTTGATACCTACATAATTAAGCATATCATACCTCTGCGCCAAGACCAAAACGAGCTCCATCACAAAAACGTGTACTTGCATTATGAAAGACAGCAGCACTGTCATTATAAATCAAATTGTGGCAAATAAGAATCTCTTTGTTAAAAAACCAATTTCTTCTACAAGAAAAAAAATTTAAAACATCCATATTTTATTGTATCAGATTAGGAATTCATAATGGTATCAGTATAACTGATGCTATCAATGAACAGAAAGAAAGGGAAATGGCAGTAAAATAATAATAATAAAAAGACAATTTCATCAACTGTTGTGAGATTTCTTTGAATTGCCACAGGTCAACTCACAGAATGATTGAAATAATTTCAAAGAAAAAAAAAATTATAGAATATAGAATTTAAAAAAAAGAATTGCTCAAAAAACTTCCTTTCATTTCATTGATGACGGGCTTATATAGAGCCTTACAAGTTACAACATTTACAAATAAATCCTTAGACTTCATCTATTTATAAATAGGACTCTACATTAGATATAGATTTCAACGCTCCCCCTCAAGATAGACAAAAGTTATTCACTAAGCCCATCTTGTCACATAATCTAGACAAACCTAATGAGCTAAGTCCTTCGGTGAGGCAGTCAGCCACTTGCTCTCCAGTGGCTACATGACTTAGCTTCAGCAATCCATTATTCAACTTTTCCATGATGAAGAATCTATCAATGTCCACATGTTTTGTTCTATCATGTTGCACTAGGTTGTTGGCGATGCCGATCGCTTACTTGTTGTCGTACCACAACTTCATTTGAGCTCCTAGGTCCGCCTTAAGCTCTATCAACAAGGATGCCAGACGCATCATCTCGACAACTTCTAAGACCATGGTTGTAGACTATGCCTCTATTGTTGATCTCATTACTACCGATTGTTTCTTGCTCTTCCAAGAGACCAAGTTGCCCCCTACGAACATGCAATATCCAGATGTGGACCTCATGTCATTAGCACAACTCACCACAAAGGCCCTCAATATCTACATGTCCATTCTTCCTGATTATCAACCCTTTCTTTGGTGCACTCTTCAGATACCACAAAATATGATACAATGAATCCATATGGCCCTTCCTTGAATCGTGCATGCAGCGACTCACCACACTTACTGCAAAAGAAATATCCAATCGAGTGTGACATAGATAAAGCAGCTCACCGGCCTCTAGTACCTCTCATGATCAATTGATTCATCTGTCAATGTATTGAGCTTGACCTTCTGATCAATTGGAGAGACTACAGGTTTGCAGTTATACATTTCTGTCCCCAGTGGAAGATCTAATATATACATTCTCTGGCATAGGACTACCCCCCTAAGGTCCATGGGGCACTTTAATCCCAATAAAATATTTAAACTGTCTCAAATCCTTTATCTCAAGTTGCTTCCCAAATCTTCCCTTCAGTTAAACAATCTTTGTCTCTTCATTACCAGCGATAATTATGTCATCTACATACACAGCAAGTATGGTGGTGTGACATTCATGTTGCCAAAAAAATAATGTGTGGTTTGCATTGATCTACTGATATCCATGCCAACCATCCTCATTCTATACTTTTCAAACCAGGCTCGAGAAGTCCGCTTCAAGCCATACAATGACTTCCTGAGCCTATACATCTTGCCCCTTATCTGGGATGTATTGAATCATTGTGGAATCTCTATATATACCTCATCCAGTAGCTCTTCATAAAAAATAAAAATAAAAAAAAAAAAAACATTTACATATAGTTGGTGGAGTCTCACTCCACAATTCACTGCAAAGAAGCCAGTGTTCTCATTGTGCTCATGTGTGCTACTGGTGCAAAGGTTTCATCGTAGTCAATGTCATACTTCTGACCACAACCTTTTGTCACTAGTCTTGCTTTGTACATCTCCATATTTCTTTCTGGAGTTTGATTTACAGTAAAGATCCACCGCCATCCAACTGTCTTCTTCTCGCTGATAGTGGTACAATCTCCCATGTTCAAATTTTATCGAGAGCTGCAAGCTCTTCATGTGTTATTGCTTTCCACTTGGGATCCTCTTTAGCAACCTGCCAACGCTTAAGGATAGAGATAGAGTCTAATGATGCAATGAATGCGCCATGCAAATGTGAGATGTTAGAATAAGAAATAATGTTTGTAATGCCAAGTTTCCACCCAAAACGATCAGGAGGATGTCCCACATTATCGCGGAGGGTCCTTAACGTTGGGGGGAGGAATGGATGGAGGGGGAATAATATCAAGCTTTGAATCAACTGTGGATGGTGTAGGTGTCTCAAGAGTTGAGAAAGACCGGGATAAATGAATTGATAGCACTGCAGACTCTGTTCACTCAGTTTACTTCTTCCTCTGTGTACGCACCCTTAGCTCACCTTCAAACTGAGTCCCACCACCTATGGGGTCAATCTCCTCGATTTACGTCTCCTTGGTTGATCCATCACACATTGCAGGACATGATATTGTCCCCACTTGCACGACTCCATCACTACTACTCACTCTATCTTGCCTCATATCTCCAATGTTTGTTGAGTCATCAAAGGGTGAATTCATCTCCAGAGTATAGTATAATTCAAACTCTTTGAATGACATCCATACTCATAAAGAATCTTTCCAATCAAGCTCCAACAGACATAACCCTTCTGAGTAGCAGAATAACCCACAAACACACATTTCATAACTCTGAAATTCAAATTCCCTACAGATAGTCTGTTGTCTTTCACAAAACATACACATTCAAATACATTCAATGAAAAGATCTCACTATTTTCTCCTTTCAACATTTGACAAGAAGACTTCAATTCCAACATTTGAGAGCATCTTGTTAATCAATTGAGCGGCTGTCAACACAACTTGCCCCCATAGCTGCTGTGGGACATTCATGGTCATCAACATGCTCCGAACTACCACTAGAAGATGTCAATTCTTCCTCTGCTACTTTATTTTGTGCTGAAGTGTATGGGCATGTGGTTTGGTGTTGTATTCCTTGAGCTGACAGGTAGTCCCCAAATGTTTTGTTGGTTTATTATGTCCAATTATCAGATCTCAGCACCTTCACAACTGCACCATATTAGGTCTTAACTGTCTTGTGGAAATCTTTAAAGCAAGCAACCACCTCATTCTTTTGTCTCAACAAGTATATAGGTAACACGAGAAAAACAATCAATAAACGTAACAAAATAATGATAATCATTAATATAACTAGTAGGACAAGATCCCAATACATTAAAATATATCAAATCAAATACATCAGAGCTCCTCTTCCCAGAACTGACATAAGAGCTCGTGAGCTTGCCAAACTCACAAGCATCACACATCAGTTTCCCCTTATCTGCCTTTTCAAACATAGATGGACATAACCAACTCAATAAATTAAGACTAGAATGTCTCATACATCTGTGATGTAGCAGTAACACATCCTCGATGTTCTTCCCAGATTCTCCTACTACAACACTTTCCACCATAGATATCAGAGCAGACTCCATCCACTCTCGGTCGAAGTACTAGAGTCTGATATGCTACGTTCCAGTCCCAAGTGTCCAATCAGTCACTTTCCTTGAAAAATCATTTGAGGAATATAAAAAATTAAAATGCATTTTTACTGGAGAATAATGACACTAATGGATAAAAGATTTACTGGAAATGCAGAAACATGTAATACATTGGACAAAGTTATAGAATCGTTACATCCCACTATACCCTTACTAACCATATGTTGTATTGTGTCATCTGAATACTCTTTGGAACTGCTAGATTAGTATTGGAAAAGAACTCCTTAGTGTTACTTGTCACATGTCGAAATTCACAAAAATCTACCATCCATTCTGAAGATTTTGTGGTGGAAATAGAGGCAAGAGTAGTGTATTACGAGTATGAGCATAAATAACATTGTTGCCCTTGGATGACGATAAGGTGGAGGCATCCCCACTGACAACACATGTCGCTCTTTGCATCCACTTCAACGTCTTCAGTAACTCGTGATTCTCATTGGTAAAGATTGTCTGTCACTCTCTCATCCTCTGCTACCATCAGATTTGGCGGTAGCCACCTCTTCCACCTCTTTGGCCTCCACGACTACGACACGACCTCTAGATTGTCCAATCCACCTGTTTCTCTCTATTTGGGTGGCTTTGGACAAGCTTTGCTAAAGTGTCTCACTTCTCCACAGTTGTAGCACCTACCGGTCTCCTCATGAGCATCTGTCATACCTGAGCTCGAGGCAGCCAAAACTGATCACATACCTGGAATTCCACTCAGCTCAGTGTAGAATCATGTGACTCTCCTCCCTTCAAATTCATGTGATTCGCTTTGCCTTAGCCTGCACGAAATCGCAACTTCTCTATCAATCGATCCTTCCTGTCTTCGCATGTTGCCCGCTTTGTACAGTGTCGTGATCCTTACCGTCACTCCCGTAAGCTGCAATAAAGGCCTTCACTCTGCCCTAGCCACGTGATATTCTCTCTGCACAATCAATGCTCCACTTCTGTTTCCCTGTACTGAAGTTGCCACTCCCTCACACAGATCCACGTGCAATCCCTGTTCCGTGAGCCTCTGTGAGACATTTCCCGCTTCATACCCGCGACGCCAAGCGTCACTTCTTTGCTCGCTTTGACTAAAATATTCAACGCGATCTATGTTCTCCTCCTTGCAGCACCTCCCTCAATGATCGATCCTATGCTTTAGTCCACGTGATCCCGAAGCCAGTCGTAGCCCTAACTGCACCACTCGAGCCTTTTGTTCTTCTTCTTCTTCCCAATTCATCGAACCTGCACTTCGTGACTGAACTCTGCGATATAGTCTAGACGGCGGCGAAGATCTGAGGCTGCTAAGTTATGGCTTTGATACCATAAAGAAAGAATAGCTCAAAAACATCCTTTTATTTCATTGATGACGGGCTTATATAGAGCCTTACAGGTTACAACATTTACAAATGCACCCCTAGACTTCATCTATTTACCAATAGAATCCTAAATTAGATATAAATCTCAACAAAATTTCATGTTTTTCGTTGTTTCAGTGATTAAACAATCAAAGGGTAGCTATATTAAGAAAAGAAAGCATGCAGAAAAGCAATAATATATCTGAGAA